TATCATTCCCTTCTTGCTTCATTATTGCTCCAGTCTTGCTGCATTATTGCTGAAGGCAGGTGCCGGTCTTCCGCCGTTCTGCTACCTTGCTGCTGTCTTGTCGGCGTTATGCGTTGTTGTTCTTGGTTGTGCCATCGTGTTCACGCGTGAATGCCGTCTGAAGTGCAATGCCGCGCTGGCTGCGCAGGTGTAGGTGTTTTTGTTGCTGAAATGCACAAGTAGCGCTTGCATCGCAATAACCCCTTGGACATCGCACGTTTATTCGCTTTAGTTATTGCATCCAGCTCAGAGGCGAAACCATTGAAGCGTTGATAATTGCCAGAGGCGAAACCATGCGCATCAGTTATTGCATCGCTTCGGACTACCGCCATGTGGTCACATTTGAATTCAGGAGTACTCAGTCGATATCTAGACTATACGATTCATGGACGTGCCAAATAAACGCATAGCTTCGTGCATCACAGCCCTACCGTCAAAACGGTGTGTTTGTCTGCCACGTGCTGGCCATGCGCGTGGTTGTCCGTTGATGGTAGAGGAGATCAGGAACTTCCACGCATGGCTCCAGGGGGCCATTCCCCACATTCATTCATTGGCGACGAGGCTCAAGACGACCGTGGACATTCGCAGTGCAAGGAACCGCCCTGTGATTATCTCGGCGGCGATGAGAGAAGTGCCAGGTGGGAGCTGGCCAGCGCGCAATCGCAGGCGGGAATCTGGGAAGTTGGCTTGGTCGATCGAAGAAATTGACGCCGGGCTCGCTGAGGAGGCGCGCGCCCCTCCGAGCAGCATCGAGCGCTTGACAGACTACGTGTCAGTATTTGCATGTGCCGGCAACCCTGAAGATATCCCCCCCCCCATGGAGTGGCGCTGGTGTTTGTGGCATTGTCACTGGGCGGTGCCGCGCGATATCACGTCGGGCGGGCTGCGTCGTGGAAGAGAGTTGGGAGTCCGCGAAGACATCGCAGGTGCTTCAGAGTCTTTGCTTGGCGAACCTCCGCAACATATTTGACGAGAGAACTGCCGTGGCGATGCTCAACGGAGGCGATGACAGGGATATCAGGTGGTTTCCATATGGGCATTCTGATGCGGAAGCTATAGCAAAGTAGCGACCGCTTTCGCGCCGCTCTTCCACGCTGATCTTGCAAAGGAGCGACCGTTATTTGGCAAAGGGCGGACTGCGCCCTGCATAGTGGAAGCGTCGCAGAGTTCTCGCGTTGAGTTATCTCAATCATCCATCATAAATGTGGGCAGACATGCGCGAGGAAGCAGGTCCATTGCGGCCGCCCAATTTCGCGGCCGCGATCGACGGATCGGCGGTTGAGTTGGATGGCGGGGAGGAAGGCGAGGCAGCAGCTGCGGACGATGGCGGCTCCGTCGAAGACGCTGTCGAGGCAGGGGGCGCAGGGGTAGGCGGCGAGGGAACCGCTGGCGACGCGGCGGAGGAGACGTCGCGCCGCGGCCGCGCGACGAGGAATCACGCAGCGGCCTCGGTGCAGCAGCGTCAATGGATGCGCCGGTGTCTGCTGCAGGTGAGCCTCCAGTGCGCGCGGGGGCCGTCGACGGTGCGGCGGCGGCTGAGCGCGTCGAAGCCTGCCGCGCCCGCCGCGGCAGATGCGGCGGATGCGACGCCGGCGCTGGCGCCCGCAGTCGCTGCTGGGGCCGGCGGCGCCTGGGCCATTACCTGCAGTCGCTGCCGAGGATTCCGCGGCGCTCGCGCCGCTGCCGGCGCCTGCAGCAGCTGCTGGAAGAGGCGGCGGCGGCGCCTGTGGCGGCGTCGCGCGGCGCTCCTGAATAGGAGTGGTGATTGCGTCAGTTGAAGAGCAGGCTTGGCCTGCCACCCCCGAGACGCCGGCTGCCGCGCCTCGTTCGCTGCCGGCAGCAGAGACCGCGCTGCCCTGGGCCGCGGCGGGCAGCGGCCAGGGCCAGGATGCAATCTATGCCGGGTCGGCGGGGCCAGAGGCACAAGGGGGGCTGCCCGAAATATCAGTTCGCTGGCCCAGTGCGCGGCTTTCAATGATCTTCCAGAAATTGATGCGTTATCTTCGGGGCGTCGATGTCAGAGGGCGATCGCGGTGCTAGTCGTTCTGATCTTTCCGACCACGGCAGCTTTTCGATGGTTGAGAGTTCTGCTGCCACATCAGACTTGTCCTAGGGGCGCCGCGCCAGGTGGTTGCCCATGTTGCGCTGATGTTTGCGAAGGCATGCGAGGAACAGCATTTCGATGGGGCCCTCAATGGAGTTCCCCATGCGAACGTTACAGGGCGCTCTGCTGGGCGCCGCTCGCGAGGAGCTGTCGCGCGGGCTCCGCCGGGCATTTTGCCAACGTTCGAAGTTGACATTCTTGGCCAAGAAGGCGCATTATCGTCCATGGTTGACACGTGCATTTGCGTCAAGTTTTAGACTCTGTTGCAGCGCAAAACGCCGCAAGGCGCTAAGTAGGTTTACGCGTCGCACCTTGTGATTGGAATGCCCTGCAGTTGCGGGCGAGGGCCAGCGGCGC